TGAAAGTGCTCTCTCTGAGAGTCAAAGACCATCTAACAAAACCCTGAAAGCAGGCATGAGATGCCCTCTTTTGAGTTGTTGATTAGTGTTGTCACAGACATTGTTAAAACATTGAGGCTATTACTATTGCCCTCGATTGTCCCCTAGAGGTGTAAGGTAGTCCCCATTGCTGAAGACACCATGCACTTCAGATGCAGAGGCTCCTCAGCTGCAATTAAGATGAATGCCTCCTCTCTGAGGACTACTTTCCATGGCACCAGAAGGTACCATGCAAGTTTCTAAAGGAGGGAAGCAACCCACAGCCCTACCCAGCTATGATGCCTATGAACTGAAACAATGACCAACATGACATGATAACTCTAAGTGTACAGTAGTGGCACACAAACCTTGACAGTAACCAACAGCTCTCTAATTTGACTTAAGACCCACTCAACAAGAGGGAAACCATGTCTCCTACTAGAAACTTAGCTGATTATCCAAGACTAATGAAGTCATGGATCTTGCAGGAGAACCTGCAAGCACCATTTCACTAAACCAACATAATCCCTAACCACATTCTAAATATTTGTCATTATAACCACAAATAGGGTAGGTACTTTTGTTCAGTTTTTGTCTAACTTATCATTTCCAGATTCATTTTATTGAATCACAAATATTTCATGATGTTTTCAATATAGGCCATGTATTCTTTTTTAATTATAGAAATATTATTAAGAGAAACACATAGATTGTGTAAAAATTCTTTCCACTATGGAACTTATGCTTCAGAGGGAGATACAAACAATAAACTAATCAGTTAAATAATGTCCTGCCAGCTGCTGCAAAATGTGGTTGAATTAAATATATGGAATTAAAAGAATGGGTAGGGGGAATGGAAATGGAGAATGTTTTTTTGACTTGGAAGCTATGCTGTGCTCATTTTTGAACTCCTCATAGATCTAGCATTCCACAGAAAATACAATGGGCTCGAGAGAGTTCCATGCTCTACCAACCTTGGGCTGCTTTACATCCTTGAATTATGCTTCATATTTCTTTATAGAATATTTATTTTGCTAATACCCCCAATTCAATTGTATTTTTTCTAATTTACTATCAATATCTGCAATGTGTGAACTATTAGTTATATAACACTTTAAAATTTTAAAAATAGCTTTATCCTCTGAAAGATTGAGACAGCTAACCAAACTTAGAATAATAACCACTAGATGTCGGTGTTACCACTGGATCTCAGAGATGATCTTAGACCTTACCAAACTTGCTTGACCTAGATATTTCACAGCATAAATAGATACTAAAAATCTTCCTAATCTATTAAGATACATATGGATAAATTTTATAAGTATTTCCTAGATGATAAAGATAAACATCTATCTTTCTGTCTGTCTGTCTATCATCTATAATCTATAACATTTGGTAAAAGATTCCATGGAAGGTAGGAATATAGGCTTATTTACCTATTCATCAAGTTAAAATTTATCTAGTGCTGGGAATGTAGCTTAAGTGGTAGAGTATTTTGTTTTGCTAAACGAAGCCCTGGGTTCAACCCCCATAACTTCATAATCTAGACATGGTGATACACATTTGTTATATCAGCACTCAGGAAGTGAGTGAGAACAATGACAAACAAACCCACAACCTCACAAACAAACAAACAACATAAATAAACAAGTTTATCTCAACCTGTATTTTATAGCATTTACTTAATACTGTTTAAAAACTCCAGAAATATCTGTTGAGCACTATGTAAATTTGATGGGGAAGACAGCAAAGACAGTAAGTCATACACAACGTGCTGTGATGATGATATTTTGAAAGGTAAACTGTGAAAAGAGTAGTGAGGACTTGACATAGACTAGACTTTCAGGGAACTGAAAGTAAAACCGGAAGGACAGTAATAAATCAGTTTTGTGAAAACTGGGGAATGAGTATTTCAGACAAAATGGGCAATAAGGGTAGAAGAGTTTGCCAGAGGCCTATGTAAAAATAGAGTTTGACAGAGGCTCACATAAAAGCAGAAAACTGTCTGCATCTGCTAAATACATAATATTCCTCATTAGGACTCCATCCCTTACCTCCTGGCTCCTTCTCTATTTCTAGGCCTTCTTCAGTTTATTGTTTTGAATATCCTTTGTCTCCATGATGCTAGAACCTCAATGAGTTCGGACCCTTCAATTGTTCTTTTCCTTCGAGGTAAGGAAGGACTCTCTCCACTCATCTCATTGCTTAGTTCCGAGTCACTCCTCTGACCTTCCAAAGAGACCTAATTGAATGGAGGGTGAATTCTTACTTCCTGATAAGGACCAGTGCCATCTAAGTCCCTGTGCTCCTGTTTCATGGCTAATGGAACTTTGTTTTATTTCCTGTCATTATCCCATAACAGACTGTAGGCTTGGTAAAAACAGGAATCATGCCTGTATTGTGTTAGCTCTGTCTTCAGTGTAATCACTATTCTGTTTTATCAGAGGCTTCCAATAAGAACTGGATGAATGAGTGCATTAATGGATAAAATGAATTTATCCTGAGTGTTCACCCATGTTGGAAAACCAGTTCATGCAAGAAAGTTTGGTTAAATCAACTGGTGAAATTCTGGATTTATGTTTAGAGGAAAACAATCATTATCTGTAGTATTTCACATTAAAAATCAATATAAAATAAGTTCCCTTAACTCTTCTTCTTTCAACTCTAGTCTCATCTCTGATGTTCTTCCTGATAGACAATCTTGATAGAGTTGGTGCTGGTTTTTCCACTTCTATCTGCTCCACTGGACTCAATGGACTAGGGACAAATGACTCTTTGGGTATCCAATACAATCTATGTATTGCAGCCTTATTGTTCTCTTTATCTAACAACATTGGTATTGTTCATCATTTATTCTTTGTGGAGGCATGTTCTTTGACTTCTCAGCTCTCCTCACACCACCCTACTTTTTATTCTTCTGCTGTATTAATTTCAACTTTCTAAATGTAAATGGTTGGAGAGACACTAGGCTCAGGCTCAGTCTTAACCTCATCCTTCTCTGTATTTTTTATCCAATTGTAAGGCTTTAAAAGCACCTATCCCTTAGAACAGTGGTTTTCAACCTTACTAATGCTATGACCATTTAATATTAGCTCCTCATGCTGTGGTGACCCCCCATCCGTAAAATTATTTCATTGCTACTTCATGGCCATAATTTTGCTAATGTTATGAAGCATAATGTAAATATCTGATATGTGACTTTAAAGGGGTCGTGACCCATATGCTGAGCACCACTGCTTTAGGATGTTCCAGTTTTATACTTATAGCCCTATCACTGTCCTGAAGTCCAGATTTTTCTGTTCAATTTTCAACTGGACATCTGCACTTACATGCTAATTAGACATCTCAAAACTAACACATCAAAAACTGAACTTTTGAATTTCCTCACAAAATCTGCTCCTCCAGAAGTCTTTCTCTTCTCAGTAAATGCAGTTCATTCTGCCAATTGTTCAGTCCAAACATCTCAGTCTTTCTTTATTCCTCCCTTGCTTTCACATCCTGCTTGGCATCTATTTCTGGTCCTAAGCACTGTGATTGTGAAGTAAGTTTAGAACTCAGGAATCCCTTACCACCTGAACCCTGGCACAGTAAGCTAACTGGTCCTCCTGACTCCATAACAACTACAGGAGTCGTCACTTAGTAACATATGTTGGGATGTGTTATTCTGGTATTCTGTCTCTCTCCATCCCCACTGTGGCTCTGGCTCCATGTGACCTTCCTCAGCTTTCCTTTCCCAGCTACAGTAAGGTGCTTCCTGTCTTAGGAAACTGTACCAAGCCAGTCTGGTTTTCTTTTAACACTCCAAGCAGGATCTCACTTCCAGTACTTTCCATAGTTCACTTCCCCGTCCCCAGCGACATTTTTTCAGCAGATACAAACATGGCTTACTCCTTCCTATAACTCTGTGTTGGAAATTTACATTTTCTGAGAGTCCTTTCACACTTCTTCAAAACCAGTCTTCTATCACTGTTTCTCCTTACTTCTTCCTCTCCTTTAGGTAATAGATGGACAAGTGAATTCAGTAGCAATCCTAAGGATGACTAGAACTCTAAATAATCTGGCCCTAATGGTTTTCTACTGCTTGTCTCAAATAAAGCAGGAAACTTAAATTTCTAAGCACGTGCACTGCTTTTCAGGCAGCTTGCTCCCTTCTGATGAACTGGTTGTACAAAAGGATTCATGCTTTCTGGTTTTGCTAAAGATCAAAACCTTTCTGTGTTTTCTCATGCTCTTCTCCAATGGTTTCCCATAATTATTCAGACTTAGTTAAGCCCAGCCAATGAGCTCATTCTTATTCTTTCAGCTCAGAACTTCCTCTAAGCTTTGTGTATGGAAATAGGAGTGTTGGTAACATAGTTTGGTTTTTATAGAAAAGAATTGTAAAAGAATTTACCTTGCTCCTTAACATTATAGCATTTTCAAAACAATACGACATAGCAAAGACTATTTATAAAGAGTTCCATTGTCATTTCCCACCTACCCCTTTGCACCACGTACCAGCTGGTGCACGTTAGGTGAATGGCTTGGTAATGGCTCAGTTCCCAGGGAGAAGGAAATGAATGAAAAGCTAAGCAACTTTTTTCATTTTGTTTTTAAGTGCAATTAAGTTCCATTTAGGAAGATATTCTGTTCTGTTTAAGACTGTTTTCCTGGGCCTGTGATTGTATCTCATGTTTTGTGTGCATGTAAAAAATAAATGTGTTGAATTAAAGAGGTGCATAATATCACTTTCTGGAAGAGGGCTTGGACACTATACTAAGACCTTCATTTTAACCTTCATCAGGGTAAGCATGCCACAGCCTCCATGATTCCCTCAGTAAAATGGGGGCAATGCTACCTCAGAGGACAGCTCAGTGGATCAGGTGAAATAATGTGAGCTGTGTGCATAACAGGTCCTGGGTAAGAGTTGGTTGTTTTCCAGCTCCATGGTAACCTTCCTCTGTTTCTACTGTTGGTCATTACATTAATTTGGTTCATTCTAGGTAAGGAACCTTCAGAAAATTCTATCACTTTGTCACTACATTTCTTCTTTTGCCCCTGAGATCACAATTTCGGAACGTTGCTTTGAGGAAAACCATGCAACAACAGACAACAGCAACAAGAACCAAAACAGAACCTGGTCTAACAAACATTCTGTAGCTCATGCATCATTATTATTCAGTAAAGTTGCTGAATTTACAATATCTGTGATGGGATGTGATGACTGCACTGCCCAAAATGTACTTCAGGTTCCTTGGAAAAGCTAACTTTATTGACATATTCCCTACTTTTTTATCATGTCACTCTTTCTCTCCTTAAATCCATGTCTAGGGAAGACCTGCTCTAAATAAAAGTAAAAAAAGAATCTTCAAAAATGATTATGTAGCAATATTAAAAAGTATCATTTTAAATAAAGAAAATGCAACTGGATGGGAATAATTATTTTCTTGTATTATTTCTTTTATTACTTTCAGATTGTGTTGGTCTCAGCTCCAGTGGTCTCTTAGCAGGGGTACTCTTTCCTGAGGGGGAGGGAGGTAGCTGTCTTTGATACATCTAGATATTTAGTAGCAGTCTTCACTTCTTACCTGTTAGATGCCAGTAGCAGTCTTCCAGAACTGTCTTCAGATATTGTTAGTTATGGTATGTTGACAGGCGAATAAGTAGTTACCAACTAACACAGATGGTTACTGGAAGCACAGGCTAGGGTGCAGGGATGTTCTCTACTAATTGGTCATCCTCCTATGGGAAGAACAAGTGAGCTTTGGCTAGACCCTTAGAAACCTTCTAAGGTGCTGCCAATTTCTCTCACTTCTTTTGCTGAGTGACAGACAACTCGCCAGAGACTAGTGCAGGATGACCTAGGCTCCAGCTTCTCTTAACAGGAAGAATTCTGAGTTGACACTCCAGGATAATTATGAGCAGTGCTCCTTTTCTTCAGGTCTGTGCACAATCAACTTAAACTATGTAATGAACACTATTCTAGACCCTAGAATCCAGTGATCAAAGTGATAAATACACAATACATGTGTGAGGTCTACCCTTCACCCTCTGAAACACAGGTTGCGATTTCCTTTATCATCATCGCTGGATACAAGTGTGATGAGGCAAAGAAAGTTGCCACAGAGTGATGGAATGGGTTAGATGGATGAGAAGGCCTCTTTGAGGCCATTTGAGACTGAAATCCATACACCACCCCCCCCACCCCCCCCACCCCCCGCCACACACACATTCAGGCTCAGTCAGTATTTTTAATACTTGGTCCCTAGCTCATGATGCTGTTTGGACTGTACAGCCTTTGTGACGTGGTACCCACAGTGGTCCACCACTAGGGGAAGGGCTTGACTGTTACAGCTGCCTCTGATACTGGTCTGCAGTCTCTGCTTCCTAACCATCACAATGTAGAAAAGGAGCTCCCGTTCCATGGGGGCTCCTCGGTCATTGGTTCACAGGGAGGACGGGGAAATCCATGGCTGATACGTGAAATTAAGTTAATTATAAAATAAAAATATTTTAAAAAATGAAAGAAAGAAAAGGGGCTCCCTCGGGCCACCATCACCAGATGGAGAGCTGCTCTTATTGTGCCTCCTCTGACTGCCAGCCTTAGAGACTGCCAGTCAAAAGACAGCTTCCCTCCCTTGAATTGGGGGTCTCCATTAGGTCCCTCCTCTCAGAGCTCAGAAAACCTAGTGGAAGAGGGTGAGAAAAGAGTGCCGGACTCAGAGGGGTGGAGGACGCCAGGAGAAGGGCCACCGAATCAGCTAAGCAGGGCTCACAAGGGCTCACAGAGATGGAAATAGCAAGCATGGTGCCTGCAGGGGTTGGCATCAGGTCCTCCGCATATGGGTTATCCTTGTTAGCTTGGTGTTTTCTTTTTCTTTTGTTTTATTTCAAGACAGGTTTTATCTGTGTAGCCCTAGTTGTCCTGGAACTCTCTATGTGGACCAGGTTGGACTTGAACTCAGAGATCTACCTGCCTCTGCCTCCCGAGTGCTGGGATTAAATGTGTGTGTCACCACTGCCAGGCTAACTTGGTGTTTTGTGGGAGGAACATGTGTGTCTCTGACTTTTTTTTTGTTTTTGGCCTGCTCATGGGACTCTTTTCCTCCTATTGGTTGCCCAGCCTTGATATGAGGGTTATTGCCTTGTCTTATTGTAACTTAGCTTTGTAATTGTTGTCTCTTGAAAGTGTGCTTTTTTTCTGAAGGGAGACAGGGAGGTAGGGAGGAGTTGGGAGAAATGGAGGGAGGAGAAACTGTGGTCAGGATGTATTGTATGAGAAAAGAATATATTTTAAAAAAAAGATTACTTCCACCAGGGATCTGGCCACAGTGATGAGAAATAACTGATTCAAATGGAGGTCAAGGATGCCTGGAAGACTTGGACTTCTGGCTCTTGCCATTCTACATTCAAACAAAAAGAACATAAACATTCAGTCTTTATATTTATATATCATACAGGTGGAATCTCCTGTGCAAACTTGGTTTCTTCTTGCTGTTATTTTGTCAATATTCATTAATAGACAAAAGCTGAAACTAGTCTATGCCATTACACATATACACACACTCATACAAGGGAAGTTGTACATGTGCATGGTTTTGTACATTGCTCTTTTTGATCAACTGTATTCCTTAGAGATAGTTCTCTATCAGCACATGTAGAGTGACTGCTTTTCTCTTTGATAATATAATATGATTACAACGTTTTCTCCTTCCCTTTTCTCCCTCCAATTCCTCTCAATACCCCTCCCTGCTTCCCTTCAAACTCATGGCCTCTTTTTTTGTTAATTGTTATTGTATGCATATACACATATATATTTCTAAATATAACTTAGTCTGGGTACTATTACTAGTATGTATGTTTTCAGAGTTGATCATTTGGCATGGGACAACCGATTTGTATGCTCTTTCCAGGAGAAGAACATTTCTCCCACTCCAAGCTTTTCTCAGTCGCCTATATGCCTTTGTATGGCGATGAGGGGGCCTTGTGGAGGGGCAGATCATATGAGCCAGAGGATCAGGGGATTTGCTGTGAAATGATGTTTCTTAGTGATGTCAGAAAAGTTGACTTTTCAAATAATATTTTTATTATTTGAAAAATTCATAGATGTAATGATGCACTTTGATTATACCCATCACCTGCTCCACCCCTTCCGATGCCTCCCAGCCCATGCTAACACATCTTCTCCCCAGCCTCATGTCCTCTTTCTCCCCCATCTCTGTCTCTCAGCAACTGTGTCAGAATTGGATTATGGGCCAGCAACTGAACATCATTTTGCCCTAGAGCCCAGGTAGGAAGACTTGAGGATTAGGTAGTTTTAAAAGTACTGTCCATGTTTCTAATGAGAGCCGGCCAGTAATTAGCCTGCAAAGCATTCTAACCGAGTGGCATGGGCAATTAAGACTGTCCTGCAAAAGGAAAGGACGCCTCCTGCGATAAGGAAAGTGGTCTGTGCAGTTTATGCCACTCTCCAAGCTGCTCCCATTGTCAGGGTTTCTGAAGCTCTTTGTTCTTTCTCTTAAGCCCCACAGCTTCAAACCCAGGCCTTATTTGAAATCTGTCAGCTGAGGTTTTAGCCATAACACTAGTCTTATCTTTTCAAAAGGTTGGATCAAAGTAGCTTAGTTCTCATCTGAGTTTAACAGGGAAAATGGCCCATGGCTGTCACTCTGTAATGAGTGCTTTCCCAGGTGACCAACACTGAAGGAATGGAGGGATATTCTGCCTTTGTGTTTGTTATCATCACCAGACCTTCATTCATATGTATGTATGTATGCATGTATGTATACAGCATACAGCACAGTTTTTTAGGAGTGTAAGAATTGGGATATAATTCACCATTTCACCTGTGAAAAGAGCTTAATGAGAGTTAAGTACTTCCTCAAACTAGGTCAAAATCAAGGCGAGAGACTCATGGCATTATACCCTTAAACATCAAACCCTGTTCTAAAGAAGTAAAGCGGTATAGAAATTGATCACCCATGTTCTGAACAGACAGCAGAACTAGAAACTAAGCTGGGAAAGGACCTGAGCTTGAATCCCTCTAACCCAGGTAACGTTGGATGCAGCAGTGCACATCTGTAATTTCACGGTTTCCACCCCAAGCACCTGAGGGTGGAGCATGGAGAATTTCTGAAAGCTCATGGGGCCATAGCCTGGTATGTTCAGCAACAAAGTAGAAGGCCGAGACCAACCCCTATAGTTGTCCTCTACTATCCACACACATTCTGCAAATATGGGCCAGCAACATGCTCACACACACACACAGACACACACACACACACACACACACACACACACACACACTATACACATATATATGTGTATATACATATATACGTGTGTGGTGTGTGTGTGTGTGTGTGTGTGTGTGTGTGTGTGTGTGTGTGTGTATGAGATTATAAAATAGTGCATTCCCATATGGGCTTTTCAAACATCCTTAGTGTTAGTTATCCTTCACTGACCCCTCTCCTCTGCCCAACCCTTTCATTATTCTTCTCACCTCTTTCCTTCTCTTGATTATTTTCCCTTTTCCCCTTCACCTGATTTTATAAATTTTTAAGTCTCAAAATATAAAGTCACAACCATCCTTAACATCACGATACATGAGTTAGAGACACAAAGCTAGAGAATCCCATCCATATTTGGTTAGGGAAAGGGATCAAGGGCTAGGGATAGGTTAGTTGGATACTGTTCTCCCTCTTTACACAGGAAGAACTGGAAAGTGATGCCACTCTGCTTGTGTTAGCATGGTGCCATGCAGAGCTGAAGCACAAGTATGTCTATGTTTAACTGTCTTTACCCAAATGAAATGGCTATTTCATGTGGTTTAGTCTAATATATGCAATATGTATGCATGCAGTTATGCACACTTGTCATTGCAGCAAAATTGCTCAAATAAGAATAAACAAAATAGGCACAAGATCTTGTTTGTTGAAGTAAGCTACCCGAAAACCACACTTTATGAATTTTTCCTTTCCTGAAAAAAATTGAGGTAGAGCAGGTAAGCAGTGGCTGAATTTATACTTCTTCCCTGTGCTTATTTCTACCCAAGTCTTTATTAAAAACTAAAAGTGGCTGATGTTTTGAATATTTTGACTATAGAATAAAGCATGCACACATTTATTTGCAAAAAGTCAAAGATAATACAAAAATGTACAAAGAAGAATATAAAAGTTACCTTCACATCTTTATATGTGCATGCCTTCTTGCATGTGGAGTGTCAACAGTGGTGTGTTGGAGTACTTGTGAGTGCACA